ACGATGAAGCATTTACGCCAAAGAAGCCATCCTTGGGACGCAGAGTAATTGAGGGCAATGCATTACGCAAAAGTTTGCCATATCAAAGCCTGCCAGTACGGAGTGGTGATGATGACGAGGAAAGGCCGACTTATAGCAAGGATTACTTGAACGAGCTGAAAAGCTCTACACCAACTACGCCTAAAGATTTACAAGCACTGCAAAGGGCGACCGAGGATGAAGGAAGTCTAGATGTTTCTGAACTAGAGGGAGCTATGATTGTAGACATGGATGCTGGCAAAGCAGCACCTTCACATATACCCACAGAAGCAGAAATCAGAGAAAAGAAAGAACGACGAGCACGATTAGCTCAAGAGAAAGACTTCATATCATTTGATGAGGCCGATAACGATGATCGGAGGCAAATGTCTCTCCTTCCGCGGAAAAAGAAAGCCGAAAGTAGGCAAGTTCGAGACGATGAGGATATCGCAGAAGGCTTTGAGGAGTTTGTAGATGATGGGCGAATCTCACTAGGCAAGAAGGCGGAGAGAGAGGCAAAGCGTAAACACCGAAAGGAAATAGCTGATATGATTTACAAAGCAGAAGGCAGCTCAGATGAAGAGTCAGATGATTCCGAAGCGGAAAGACGTGCAGCATATGAAGCAGCACAAACCAAAGCTGGAATGGATGGTCTAACAAAGCCGGAAGACAACGAGGGGCAAAACGCAACTCAAGTTCCATCAAGGGTTACCCCTTTGCCAGTTCTATCAGAATGTTTAGAGCGCTTACAGGCCACTTTGAGTTCTATGCAGTATGAATTAGCTAAGAAGCATAAGAAGATTGCGGATTTAGAAAAAGAGAAAGGAGAAATTTTAGTCAGGGAAGATGAGGTTCAGGAACTGCTTAGGCAGGCCGGCGCAAAATACGCAGCACTGAAAGCAGACACAAATAGCGCTGTTGCTGACCCAAAAGCACTGGTGGATGCCAGTCTCAGTGGTCAAAGTCTACCAATGATTATAGACAGAGGCCTGGAAAGTTTTGGAAATACTCCAACAATAAGACCAGTTGTGGAGGATATCGGCTAGCAAGGCTGATATGTAATATAAACTTGTTCAGTTGTTCTATCACTACAAGAAGCTCGTGTGACTCTACCATAGAATCAAAGGCGGCTGATCAATCTAAAATATTTTAATTTTATAATCGTTATGGTCTCCAGGTTGGCGGTCTCCCCCTTTTATTGATCCTCATATTCAAATCCAAACTCCTTCTCCTCCTGCCAGGGGTTCTTTTTGTGTGCAAAGACCTCTTCGCAGGTTGCACACCAGCTACAAAAAGAATCATTAGCCATCTTTTCTTACCCCCCCACAAGGATGCTCAAAAGTACTTACTAGCACCAACTGGCTTAGGTGTCGTCACCAAAATCAAATACTGTCCATCTAGTTGAGTCATATTGGGGAGCTCGATCTTATCCACAGTCAACTCATGCACGACCTGGGCGTCTGCATTGAGTGGGATGAATTGTCCGCTCGTAGCATTTAAAGGGCGTTTGGCGACAGTGAGCATTGTAGATGGGGAGGAGCCCATGGGCCGGAGGGCTGTGAGCATTGCGCGGTTAACTTCAAAGTTGTTAGTTTGAAGCAACCTTTGGGGGGCAGAGAGCTATTGGATGAAAACCGACATGACGAGGGACTTGAATGAATGCAACGGGTAATGAGAGATAAAGAACATTGTATAAGGGAGTAAAAGATGCCAGGCACAGGTATGCAATTAATGGTATATTTGAGAACGAAGTAGTGGAAGCAGATGTACTGCGATTATAGAGAAGAGGCAGAGTGAATAATAGTCATACATATGCTAGGATGGTCTCTTGGCACAAAGGGCAATTACTTACAAGGAACCATCATCTGGGCATCGACATTCAAAAATGGTGCTGTCGATCGAACAATCCAAGCATACGAATTTAATGATATCGTATTCGCTGGTAATGTCCCAGGATTAACCCCCTCCTTAAGTTCGACATTGAAATTAATGGGTTCGTTGCACTGAATAGAGAAGCGCAATCCATCAATGAATTCTGCTTGCTGGAGTCCAGGGCCCCCAGTAAGATTCACCATTCGATTCGATCCTGATCCATATTGGATGAACATATTACTTGAGTCGATAGTCCTTCTGCCAACCAACCTGTATTCGCCATCTATAGTTGTCATCTTCATTATCCGGGTATTGTTCTCGCTTCGGTGAACATTTCTTGTCGCATCATCAACTACCCAACTTCGCTTGTCAGGGGCTAGAGTCGCGACATAAGTATTTGCTTCTTCGATTCCCATTTTAGCTAGAATTGAAGTGTCATAGGGGATCTCCACTTTCGCGATTAAATCGTTGGCCGTTTCATTCATCTGGATTACATATGAGAAGTTCTGAAGGGCCACAAATGGTTGTCCGGTAGTGCCTGTAATGAATTGAGCACCGAGAGGATTTGGATTCTGTCCGACGACGAGTGTCCGGTTTTTGGGGGACATGAGATCGAGTCTTAAGCCATCCTTGAAGTCTTGATCTGTTCGTTCCATCTACGAATTTTCAGTAACCACTTATCCGTTGTGATAACATTAGCAGTGCAGAACCTACACGTCCCAAGACCTTGACGGTGTCGCCAAAAGTAGGCAAAGTATTTGTTCCATGCTGACTAGTGCTCTGGGCTAAAGTCAATCTTGACAAGCTTTGAAGCATTAATAATACAGCGAAAGCGCCAGGCAATCGATGAATGAAAGCCATGCTAGCGATTGCAAAGAAAAACGAAAGCGCAAACAACAAAGGACGAACAGAATTCAAGATCAGATTATCTGAATGAGGTGACGATACTAAGACCTTCGCCTCGCCTCGGACTATAAGTCTTCTTACGGTGTCTTGTAGCAGATTGCCCGAGCTTGTGGGTTCGTTACTTGTGCCAAACAAACTTCTGATCGGACTCACATCCGAATGATTACCACCAATAAAACCCAAAGCTAAAGCGGGAGATCACCAAAAAGATTGAGCCAAGATTAAGTTTGCGTGCCATCGGGTCCCATATGTCCACCTGAAATAGCCTGTTGTGAGAAGAAACATGGTCGAAACGAGCCAAGAAACAACGTAGTGAGCACGGCCTTTAGTTCTTCGGTTGAAACTCCTTGAATCATGAACTCAAGACCGGAATCAGCTTCATTGAAATAGACAAGAGTAACAAGTCTGTGCTAAGAGTAAAAGGATTACTCGGAAAATTAGCTCAGACGATTTTGACAGTTGGGAGCAGAGAAGATATTGACAACGGAGAATAGAGAAATGGCTTACGAAGCCTCCATCGAGGGAATCTGTTATTCAACAGTAATATCATATTTGCGAAGATACGTGGCTTTCACGTCACAGCACAGTCCCTCCTTGCAGCGCTGATGGCTTGTAGCATCGCACGGGACTGTCATTTTGAAGATGGTGGGAGTGAATTGTAGAGCTTGGCGGTGAGGGGACCCTTGGAAAGCGGTGAGTGACTCACGGCAGAATCAAAAATGTCTCTTCTGCTTCTGATAGAGCAAAACTTCGTTTTGTATTTCAAATTGATCAATCAATTTTCGCAAGTGATCATAATCATGTCAGGAATTACACTACATCTCCGGTCTGAGTGTAAGTTTTCAATGGCATAATGTTCGGCAGTCTACTAACACGATCGATAGTGGGCAAAGCTCTTGAACACCGTTCTGCCCTTACACCAACCACCGTCAGAGCACTCCTCGATGCTGGCTACACAATCAATGTGGAGCGCAGTCCAGAGCGTATCTTTGATGATAGCGAATTTGAGAAAGTCGGGGCTACTTTAGTACCAGAGGATACATGGCGTGAAGCCCCGGCTGATCACATTATTATTGGTTTGAAGGAACTTCCTGTTGAAGAATGTAGGTTCCCATTGCTTAATTTCACCGAATTGACTCTCTCTGACATTTTGTCAGTTCCTCTTAAGCATGTTCATGTTCAATTCTCGCACTGCTATAAGAATCAAGGAGGATGGGAAACGGTTTTGGCTCGATTCCCAAGAGGTGGTGGAACTCTACTCGATCTCGAATTTTTGACAGATGATAGGGGCCGCCGTGTTGCAGCCTTTGGATACCATGCCGGATTTGCTGGTGCAGCTCTCGCACTAGAGACATGGGCATGGCAGCTTACACACCCCGCTTCTGAGCCTTTCCCAGGTGTCTCAAGCTATCCAAATGAGGATGCGTTGATTGTTGATGTGAAGAAAGCAATTGCCGTTGGGAAGGAGAAGTGTGGTAGAGATCCTCAGGTCCTTGTCATTGGTGCCCTTGGTCGATGTGGTAGCGGAGCTGTCGACCTTTGCTTAAGAGCTGGTGTCCCGACTGAAAACGTCTTGAAGTGGGATATGGCTGAGACTGCTAAGGGTGGGCCTTTCCCTGAGATCGTGGAGAGTGACATCTTTGTCAACTGCATCTACTTGATGTCGAAGATCCCGAACTTCGTGGATATGAAGAGTTTAGATACCCCGGACCGCAAGCTCTCGGTCATTTGTGATGTCAGCGCCGACACAACTAACCCCAACAATCCAATTCCAGTCTATACCGTTGCCACAACATTCACCGAGCCCACCGTACCGGTCGAGGTCGGAGGAGAGCCAAAATTGAGTGTGATCAGCATTGATCATTTGCCTAGTCTTCTTCCCAGAGAATCGAGTGAAGCTTTCAGCAAGGACTTATTGCCAAGCCTGCTACAATTGAAAGATTGGAAAAATGTGCCAGTATGGTCCAAGGCAGAGAAACTGTTCCAAGAAAAGGTTGCAACTCTACCAAAGAGTGCTTTAGAATAGACTAGACATATCTCTGAAAATAGACAGGACACGAGCAATTGAATTATCGATGAAAATAACTCCATCCCATATCCCTTTAGTAATAATTGAACTGGATTACGGAGGCTCTGAAATCTTTTTTAAGATCTACGTAAACAAAAAGTAACCTCGATAATTTTTCTAATCAAGACTAAGGTAATGGAGCAGGAAAGGTTCGAACTCTCGGCTTTTCCCAGACAATCTAAGACTGTGCGAAGGGAACACGCTACCACTGCGTCACAACCCCTGTTTTCAATGCCTAGATTCTCCTATTTAACGTTATATACTGCTCTTGGGAGCCATCTACTGGCCGAGCATTGACCGATCAACTCCAAATATAGTAGTCACGTGAAATGATCAGTGGTTCTTCCTTCTTCAGTAGGTATACCCATGAACAGCGGCAAGGTTAAGAAATCGGTCTCATGGATTTATGTGTCTTCATCTATTGATACCACACTCTTATGCAACCATAAATTTACCCTGTCGGTTATGAAAATGCCAGCTGATACAATATTCGCTTAAGTTTCATGCAACATCCAAGCACTTTGATCTCGCAACCTCAGATAGTAAGATTACAACAGAGTAGCTCAGAATGGCAAACTCAAAGTAAGCACTTTCCCAAAGCAGCCTAACTATTGCCAACATCTCTACAGGTACGAATATGTCAAAAGTTTCGAGCAACCTGACATCCTCCTCCCAAACACCTGGATAGTCGTGCGAATCGACGGTCGTGGCTTCCACAAGTACACGCATATACTAAGCTAGTGCTAGAAGTATACTAAAATTTGACCAGGTTCTCGGCGAAGTATGTATTTCAGAAGCCAAACGATCGTCGTGCTCTAGATCTCATGAATGCGGCTGCCAAGGCCGTTATGACTGAGCTTTCGGATATTGTTATTGCATATGGTATTAGTGACGAATACAGGTATATATCGCATCATAAGTTTATAGGGGTTTACTATGAGCTAACATGTTTCAATTAGTTTTGTATTCCATAAATCTTGCGCACTGTTTGAACGGCGGTCAAAGTATGCTTCGTCCACTTCATCCATAGGTTTAGGAAGGATGTTGATTTTTGAATAGTAAGCTTGTCACGACTATCGTCTCAACTTTTACGGCACATTTTGTGTATTTATGGAGTTCTTTCTTCCCGGAACTGCCTCTTTCTCTCCCCCTACCAAGTTTCGATGGCAGGGCAGTGCTATATCCAACAGTTCAGAACCTACGAGATTATATGAGCTGGAGGCAGGTTGACTGTAATGTCCTATTATTTTTCTTTAAAGCAAATAATTTACTAACAAAAGATAGGTCACATCAACAACCTTTACAACACTACCTTTTGGGCATTGATTCAAAAAGGCGGCATGGACGCTAAGGATGCCGAAAAAGAACTTGCGGTTCGTTCTCCGGGACCCTTATTTGCCCATGAAATTTACTAACTACTGTTCAGGGCTCTGTGGCGGCTGACAAGAACGAGATTCTATTCTCAAGATTTGGTATCAACTACAACAACGAGCCAGAGATTTATAAAAAAGGCAGTGTCGTGTTTCGAGATGTGCGTTAAGTTCAATAGTATTCTAGCTCAATGTGCTTGGGAAGTATACTAACCCAATGCAGTACGAGCTAGTAGAACCAGGCTCCGTAACGGAAGTAATTGACGAGGATTCAGCTAAGACCGTAGAAGGGCTTCAGCTATCCAAGACGCAAGAGGAAAAGGATAAGAAGAGGAGAGCCAAAGCAAGGATAACAGTGCAGCATGTGGACATTATCAAGGACGAATTTTGGGAGAGGAGGCCATGGTTACTGTCAAACAAGCCTGGAAAGATACCTAAAGAGCCATGAATGAATTTGATTTGGACTCGGACTCCATCTATAATACCTTGATTATCAATATGATATATGCCTCCCTTTAAGAACGCCATGCTAAATTTTGCAAATAGAAGCGGCACCCTTACTCGCCCTTTCGGCGCTTTTTCTTCTTTTCTTTTTCTGGGGACGCCTCAATGAATTTCTGCTCTGCCTCCTTGGCAAGCTTTTTGAGTCGCCTTCGTTCTCTACGTTCTTCTTTCGTCTCTGTTTTCTCTTTATCTTCGTCTTCGGGGTTTTCAATAGCTTCTGCTTCTTCTTTTGCTAGAGCAGCTCGCTTAGCCGCTTTCTTTACCCTTCGTTCCTCCTTTGTCTCCTTTCCTAGCCTCTTCTCCTCCTTCCTACGCCTCTCCTTCAACTTCGTTGGTTTAGCCTCGGCGGGTGTGCTTGTGCCACTCTCCGCAGGTGTAGTATTTGCAGTACTCTCCATACTCGAGCTTGCCTCTGTCTCCGGTGTGATCGTCCCACTCAGGCACTCTCCCCTCACAAAACTAGCATATAGACCTCCTCCCGCAGCCGTCCCTGCAAACTTCGAACCCCCCCTCTTGACCATATCCAATCCTCCACTTGTAACAGTCTGGACCACCGTTCCCTGCTTTGAAGTATCCAGTCCCTTCAAACTGCTGTCGAATGCATTCATCCACCACATATCGCTCGTTTTGTGCTGTTTCCTGCCAACGCCGAGGGTGTTGTCTTTCCTTGAGACGAGGAGGGGTCGCGAGAGGCCGACGCTGTTACTTGTTGGGTGGAGGGAATTGCCTGTTCCACGCCATCCTTGGGATGTGAGAAGCGCATGTGCATCCATTGGGACGAGGAGTGCGGCGGGCGCGGTGAGTATATTCAAGGGACTGATTACAGGTTCGACGTGCTAGATCTTCAGTCATGATTTTTCTTATCGTAGAACAGAAAAAGTTCCGTAACAACCTTGCAATCTTAGCGTATTCGTGTAAATTGCCATTTATGTACTAGCCTATAATTGCATTTAAACCTCACTCAACTCATACTTCTCATCACTTGTGACAATCATCATGAAATATTGCATTCAACATGTCATAATCAGTGCATACTACTCTCCACATTCATACACATTATATGCTAAGAATTCAGCTACAAAATTGACCGAATGACTCAGCTAAAACTAAAGGGCCTTCATGGGTTTAGACCAAAATCATAAGCCGCTGTTCCACCTCGCACCATCCCGGGCCATCAATCCATGACCTTCCCGTAATAATCCAATTGCCGTTTAGGGGCTCTATGATACCCCTCGAGTATTTATCATATCATTTTTCTCTCTCAAAACAAGGATCCCATCAAATAAGCAGAGGATATGTGTTGGATCAGAGGGTTCTTCTACAATTGATGCAATTGATGCAATTGGACCTTGTGCCAGTGCTGAATATATTGGAATAACTGATTAATTAATTATAAGGAGTGGTGTTGAGAGATGGTAATCTCTCCAGCTGTTCTACGCTAAACTACAATAGGTAAGGCGTCATGCCCTGAACTGACAATATGCTTCTTTAATCTGAGCTTTGAAGCCTTCTACCGAACCTACAACAGAGACTTAATCCATTAAATTTTTTCCCTTAGAACGGCTATTTAAAGCATCCTCTCCCTTTATAACAACATTTCAAGCTTCTTTAAGATGCTGGGTGGGAAAGCTGCTAGGCTATGTCCAGCAACGTTCTCATGGGCTCCTTTTTGTACCCAAAGGGTTAGCTCCACTGAGAGTGAGAAGAACTGTTCGGACGAAGGTTCAAGATTGCTTAAAATGCTGATCAATTTCCGCAACCATCAAGGTTTCCGAATTCTAAACATCATTCTTCCTAAGAAACTCAGCCAACAGGATTTGAGGCTGCGAGGACCTATACTTAGGCCAGTCTTTTCTGCTGGGTGCAGGAGCCATTGGCGGAAGCTCTAGCCTGCCAATTACCCTGGCCATCTCTGGTATACTGGACCCGCAACCTCCTACCAAAGGGTCTTCCATGCGTTCTTACCGTCAAATCTTTGTGTGCTCTAGTCACCTTGCAACAATACTTGAAACAATGCTTCGGTTGTCTCACAGAAGGTAGTAATAATTGCAACACTAGATAAAGTAAGTTGTATGGGCGACTCAGCAAACCACTATGCCTCATAACATAAACGTAGGGGTTGCCTGGCTTTTCCAATCCCATCTTTGAGGAAGTAAAGCAAACCTAGATTTCTATTTCATGCAGACTGGCGTTTAAGTCAGCCAATCTTTATCTAGCTGGTTTGCAGGAAGCAATATCTTTGTAAACCTTTCAGCCCATTTTCCCATTTTGACTAGCAGTAGTGAAGGGCAGTTAAGGAATGTTCAAGACCTCTGCTAGCCTGAGCTCATAGCAATATTTCGATAGAGTTACATACCCGGATACCCACTATGCCGTTCCATAGCTAATTATAATGGCACTTTGAGCGTGTAAGTGTCATCTAAGTAAGAAGCCGCATTTTTCAGCTAGGCTATATGGGGCCCTTCCTTCCTATAACAAAATACCAGGATACGCATTCTCTCCCTCCAAAAAAAACATACCATAAACCCATTCTTTTAAGATTGTACTCATTGCATGAAATCTCATCGAACGCATACACAATATACGTGCACAGGTCTAGCTTAAGCACCTCCTTGCACTTGTAGTAGAATACTCTAACCATCGAAATCCTGTAGAATCTCATTCGAAATTAAAGAGGGATCCTTGTCACAACAAGGATGCTAGTAAACACAACCCCTAACTAACCACAGGTGTCTTTATTCTCACACGCCCTAGTTGAGCCATACTAGCTTTGTAGTCACTCACAGCTGTCTATCGACACCTCACTCGAAAACTTTTGAAATAATAACAGATCTCATTCTACAATCAAGACACATCAGAATGCCATATCAAGGATTTTAAGCAAGTATTTACATCCCCTCATAGACTATGGCGCTATATGTTGATGGTCTGATGAGAAAAGTCACTACAAGCTTGTTGCGTACCATCGAAATCCTACTTGAAAGCTTTCGAAATGAAAATTAGTCACCCCAGTCACCGACCACGACAATAGCAACTACACAGGAAAAATAATTCCAGGGTCTCCACAAACTATATCTTGTTCATCACAACCAGTATTTGAATGCCCTTCTTCATAAATTTCGCAGACATTCATGGCAGTACGCTGTCGCGTGCTGCGGTTTGCCATGCACCCAACAGACCTTCGCCACGGAGCCCTCTCCCACTACATACCGCGGTTTTTAGATGCAGGAGGCATTCAGCCTCGCGCCATCTATACGCCCAGAATCCTCGACTAGTTCCCTTCAAAGAATGCCAGATCTGATGTCTTGGATGGGCGCTTTGCCATTGCGAATCATCATCAGAGTCGCAA